TGAGACACAGAGCAAGCAGGATGGGAAGTATGTACCTGAGGTAAACAAGCCTCGGGGAAGCACAGAATTAATAGAAATGGGTTAATTTGTTATGAGAGTGAGCTAAAAATAAGCCTAAGCTATCGGCTGAGCATTTATAATCACTATTAAGTCTCTGTGTTGCTATTTTGGGACAGAAGAGTCCCCCTGCAACCTTTGGTTGTAGCAGGCCACAGTCTCACCATGGCAGACGTGGACACACGTTTTTTCCACCATCATTTTAATTATCACCTGCATTTATGCAGTCAGCGTTTTCGCATCATGTCAAGTATCTTACAAAAAAGGATAGCTGACTAAAACTGCGGCTCTGAGCAGGATTAATACCATAAAGGTTTGATTCCATGCAATTGTTTGAGATTTCGACAGGACAGACATTATGTACGGGTGATGGTAATTTAAAGCACATGGATCTCAGGATTAAAAGACTTGACTATATCCAACCTAAAAGGTAGAAAAGTCAAATACTGGAGGACAAGAACCCAGGGTCTAATCCCACATTTGAGGCTTAGCACCGACTAGGTATTTGGTTATGAAAGGACCTCCCTTTTCTTTATTTCACAATGCTTTCTGGTCTCTGTACCCTTCCTTACATTTTGTATGATTTTAATTAGGGTGGGGAGTAGAGTTTTTTGTATCCCTTCCTTTTCTCCTGTCTTTATCTTTTGTTCTGTGGTTTGCTGTTGTCATTGTTTGTTGGTTTGCTCTCAGTTTCTTGCGACAACTTCTTACTGCGCAGTGGCTGATCTGGGACTCCATTTGCTCCTGTCTCAGCCTATCAGATGTTAGGATTACAGGCATACGTCACCACGGCCAGGAATTTCATCTTTTAGAAGTAGAGAGGAAAGACGAGAGAGTAGGGAGGATGTCCTACATTCACCTTCTTGATCAGAACGGTTTCGTTTTCATATTGGATTTTCTTAAAGGAGAACTGAATTTAAATAAATGATTCCAGAAATAAAATATATTAGAAAATGAGAGATCTGTCCCACCACATACACTTGTTATATATATATATATATATATATATATATATATATATATATATATAAACTGCCTTCTCTGCCTTTCGTGTCTGTCTCCAGCTCTTGTGACTCTCACATAAACTCCCACCTCCCGCACCCTGATCCCTCATGCACCGCCTAGTTTCTGAGCTTAAATGAGGACCCACTGAGTGCACAATCAGGAAGTCAAGCAGAACTGTGTGACCCTGTGGTTTCAACTCCTACGTGGACAGTTAAGATTACCAAGTGAGAAATCCAGAGAATTCCTGCCTGTGCTATTTTAGAAGGTGATGAAGCGAGAGAACTCAGCAAATAAGCAAACTTTCTGAACGCTGGTGTAGTAAATACAGCGTATTAGACACAGCACACACATTGTATTGTAGACAGTGATCTTGTACTACACGAGGGTTCAATTAAACAATTACTCTTCTTGAAAAGCAAATGTTATGTTGCTTCTCACAAGAACGCCAGCTTTAGGTCTGGGATGTGAATGTAAGATCTAACAATGCCTCACTTTTCCCTAAAGAGTTCCTTCTGCCCCTTTGCTGACACACAAAGCTGTCGAGTGAAAAGATTCCACATTCTGACTTTATGTAAACGGACACATTATTCTTACAGAGCCCCTAAGATTGGATAGTAAAACGTATGGTACTACAGGTAATAGTTTTCATCCAATCATCTGACTTCTCAGTTCTTCTAGATGTTTCTCTGTTGATACAACATCAGCATAACTTTTCCTGATCTCTGGTCTCCTGCTCTGGGAAGTGGTGCTATAAAATCAAAGTACTTACTTTTTCAAATTTCATCATCATAAAATGATTCTAGTTACCATAAGTGTTCTTCCCCTGAATATCTAATTTCAGTTTAGGAGACATTAACATAACTTGGCAATTTTAGATTCTAGTAAATTTACTTTCTCTTCTTGCCCTATCAAGGCACACCTAATTCAGGTTGAAGGACATTCCGTGTATTACCCTGAGGTTCCTGTTGCTCCCAAATTGTGTTGTACAGCGATGGTGCCTGTATCCACAGTGTCTTTGCCTAGAGAGCAAGATCACACAGGTGCGGGGAACAAGAGACCAGAGATGAAACCACACAAACTTTAGGTCGAAGCTGGGGAGGAAAGGATCAAATGCAGATGGCTAAAGCATCACAACCAAGTCACAGGGGCTACCCAGCGGGTTTGGGGAGACTACAGAAGGCTGTTGAGACAGTAAAAATCAGGAAAATGATGCCACTTTTTTGTTTTGTTTTGTTCTTTGAGACAGGGTGTCTCTGTGTACCAGCCCTGGCTGTCCTGGAACCCACTTTGTAGACCAGGCTGGACTCGAACTCACAGAGATGCCTGCCTCTGCCTTCTGAGTGCTGGGATGAACGACGTACTGATTTAAGGAGCAACTATGAAAGATCATTTTGGTCCCAGAAAAAAAAAATCAGCTCAACAACAAAGACCAAAGAACAGCCAGGGACTTCCAGCCCAGGAGCAGATCAGGGAGTGGAAAAGCAGTCAGAGGAAAGAAATGCCAGAGGTAAAGGGGATTCTGGATGAATAAACTCGACAGGATTTTGCTGAAGGCAGAACAGAGTGCTCAGGTGCCACGGACGTGAATCTGCTAAACTGATTAAGTAGGATTCAGGTTAAACCTGGGTCTAAATAGCTAAGGAGAGAGGCCAAGACCAAAGGCCTAATCAAGAAGGGGACTTAGAGCAGCCTGGCTGGAGTTCGGTCAGATTGGAGTATTTGTTCCTGGCTGTGCATCTGGAGATGAGCTTAAGGCCGAGGGGTCAGCCCCAGGGCAGACGGCTGGGAAGGAGAAGCACAAGGGGAGCAAGGATAAACCGAGAGGACAAACTGGTACTCTCCTGGCAAGTCAGGCGTTCACCACCACTGCTGTGGGTGACCTAGCAAAGCCAGGCCTGCCGTCAGAACAGCACACATACCTGCTCTGGCGCTCACCAGAAAGAGGGGCCAGCAGGAGTTGGAGGGATGGCTGTCTGCCAAACACGAGAGCAAACAGATGTGTGGCAAGCATAGATTATGTGCAGGATTGTGAGCTGACCCACTAAATATAAAGCCTTCTGCCTGACCCTGCTTCCTCCCAGTCTCAAGCATAAAGCTTTTGTCACCAGCCTGACTGGGAACCATGCAGAGGATTCTTAGAGACTCGATGTAACCTAGCTAACGGGCACTGAATAAAGCTGTCAGCATGGCCAGAAGCCGTTTCACAGAGAGCCGTCCTAAGATAAATGTAAGCTTCTCAGAGGCAATTTCAATAATAAAGTGGATCACGGCGCACAACTTCAATTACCATGCGCATGTATTACAGTTCCTCCAACTTTTCGGATGAATAAAACATTTCCACTAGCAATAAATAAATAAATAAATAAAAAATAAATAAATGGGGGGGGTAGACTTGCTTTACTCTTACTGAAGTTTAATGTAATACTCAATGTTACTAACCCGACAATTCCTTAAGCAGAAATCTACTTGAAGAGGAACTGTTCTTCATTTCTACCTAAACGCCTTTTATTATCTCAGTCCTCAGAACAGCTGCTTCTACTCCTAAGGCAAAAGCTTCTACGCCCCAAGCCTGTAGCCTTCTTCTTCTTGCCTGAAGCTTGCAGCAGGGCCGGCTTGTAGCAAGGCCAGCAAATCCTTCTGGCAGGGCTCTGTCAATCTGGACTGAGTTACAAATGAGAATTGAGCTCAAGTTCTGCCTCACAAAGTTGATGGGCCTCATGCAGACTAGGATGGGATGTGTTGTCTGATTCGAGGTAACAGCTCTGCAAACTCAGCTCTGCTCTGGGCACACCCTCAGAGACCCTGCAACCTCTCTGCCCTCGCAGGAAACTCCCTGAGGGAGAGAGTGACAAGCTTAGCCTTGCCTGAAGTCACTCTCGAATCCCAGAGACAGGTTTCCGCACACTACTGACCCTGGCATCCCAGAGAAGCACATTCCTTCCAACTTGTCAGGAATAACAAGAGTAAGCCTGAACACTTAGCAAATTTAATGGAACCTTCTAGAATTTGCTCCTTTTCAACTAGTTCATCTCACAGCAGCAGTACATGCTGTGAGTCAAGCACTGATAAAGGCCAAAGCTATCGGTAGAAGATCAGTGCTTGGCTTCTGGCCTGAACTAAACTCTAGGTACCACTGTAGAGAATAAAGTTGACCCCAAAGGTGCTGGGGTGGTGATGTGAAGCATAAATGGGGTAACAAGTCTTCTACCTGTCTCTTTGGTAGGGAAGCTGTTCCCTCCTCCCTGGGGCCCCATCATGCGGATGGCGGTCCTGCACGCTGTTCAGGAGAAGCCTCGCTGCAGAGAGCATTGTGCCCTCCACTAGCTGGAGTGGCCTGCCCCACCACGCTTTGCTCTCACGATTCCGAGATGGGGTCTTTCTGCCTTTTGAGTAGTTGACTGGGGCTTTTCCCCTCAAAAGAGCCTGAGTCCAGTTTTGTGTTGTTTAGAGTCAGAGCTGCAAATGCAAAAACACAAGATGGGCTTAACAAAGCAGGCAGGCCATGACTTTCTCCTTCCATCTGGATTTGGTTTTATTCACCCAGGATCCATAATTTTCTCTCTCTCTCCCAAAAGCATTCCCAAGGTTTGACTGTATGCTCCCTACTTTCCCCCTCTAAAGTTAAGTAAACTGCAAGCACAGTCTAAGGAAAATCAAAGCTGACGACTGCTCTATCTGCGTTCCTACTACAGAGAATCGCTCAGACACTATCTCCATCCTCCACAGCCGTGTCCAGGCTCACGAAATGAGCATGATATGCGTCTGGAGACTAGCAAAGGGCAGACCTGCTTGCTCCCCTGTCTTCCTTTGCTCTGATTAACACGCCTTAGTGCACAGATCAAAGCCAAGTGCAGGTTCAGAAGGGTTTCTCATGAGTGGACTTTACACAATCAAAAATATCAACCTTTATTTAACGTGTTAAAATTACTACAGGCTCATCAAGAAAGAGCAGAAATTGCTTCTTATTAAGCACAATATTTGAAATTGAGAACTAGTATTTCAAAGCTGCACTTGTATTTCATGAGGATGTTGCCCGTTTCAAGTACTGAATAAGATCTTCTCTCTCGCTCCTCTTCTTGATTCCAGCAAAGATCATTTTAGTGCCGGGGATGAATTTCTTTGGGTTCTCCAAATATTCCATCAAAGTTGCTTCTGTCCAGACAATACCTAAAAGGTTGAAAATAAGTATTAAGTCTTCATGGTTACTTCTTAGAGCTTACTGTCCGCTATGACCCACACATGTGAACAGAGGGTTACCTGTCACTCAATATAGAGCCTGAACTACAAGAAAATACCAGAAAAAGAGTCTATTCTGTTTTTCTATAGGGATCCAATAGTCACACGTTGTTGAGGACCATCAAAGATATGTCAATGAACAACTACCCCAGACACACTGTGCCTACACAGTGCCTCAAACTTCCAGAATCACAGCGTCCCTTCTAGAGTAAATCTCAGATAGCATGCAATCTAACCCAATTTTCTGCTTTAAAAATGGACATAATGATGCCCAAAGAAGCAAGTACTTTGCCCTGAAATAACAAAGCTATCTGAATTCAAGAGTTTATGACTACTGAGTAGAGAGGTGGCTCATGGGGTAAAATAACTTTGAAGGCCTGACAACCTGAGTTCAAATCCCAGAGCCCACAGTAAAGGAGAAAACCAATTCCCCCAAGTTGTCCTCTGATCTCCATATGTCAAGTGTGACATGTATGTGCCGGCACTCATGTGCGCGCACACACACACACACACACACACACACACACACACACATACACACACACCATGGAAATCTGTGATTCGGGAATTCAATTCCAAGATGACAGACAAAGCTGTCCTCTTCTCCCCTAGAAAACCAGTGAAAAGGACACAAGCCACCTGACTCCCAGGTGAGGGTGAACCCACAAGTATGACCAACATCTGGTCCTCCACCTGTGAAGAACTGCCCACTAGCTGGACCACATCTGCAACTTCATCTCCAAAGGAAGGCCCTACCTAGGCAAGGACAGGATGGCCCAGGGACAGCATCCAGCATCCATAGAGCCAAGACTGTCACCAGCAGACGAACAAGCCGTCAGGATTGTGTTCACACGCTACACTCCGTCTGCTCTGCTTGCTCCGTGCATTCCTCTATGCAGTACCCACTGTCGACCCAGCAAGCCAGGCCCTCCACGCTTCACTCTGCTCCTGTGTCCCTCTAGTCTTCTCATACTGTTTCCGTTCTCCTTCTCAGATGACACAAGCAGCTGTGTCTGCCACTCTTCGTCTCAGCCCCTAAGCCTGAGAATGCCCGACATCATTTGATTTCCTTTCTTTGCGGTCAGCTCAGCCGCTGCTGCGTCCTCTCCCCGTCTTTGCCCCTAATGCTCCTTCCTCAACATGGCTTTCACACTTCTGCTTTTTATCTAACAACCCAGTACTAATTACCCTGATTGGCTAATCTGTCTGTTTCTTTTTTCTTTCCCCTTTACTCAAAGTGCCTAATATATCAGCGCACACATAACTACCAGTGACTCTTTACCCCTCCAAATCCGTGATGCCTAAGAGGTAGTATTCCTTTATTTAATTATCACCATCCTTTCATAGCAGGCCTAGCCTGTGATAGAGCCATTTTTGTAGACTTTCTAAACACGACTCCAGTTCCTGAGAAAGAAAGCCAACAACTGATAAAGGGACCCCATGAACTGGAAAGGCTTCTCTGTGCACAGAAAAGGAAACAACTGACTGGGCGGCACACAGCTCTGTCGTCATCTTCATTTCATTCCAGTTCAAATGTGGTTTATAATCAGACTAGAAATTAGGACCTTCCAACTTCACTGTCAGAACAATATTTTTAATAAAGACACAGGAGGAAACAGTTTAAAAGTCTGTAAAGATGAGTGTACAGCCCAGAGGTAGAATATGTTCCAAGCATGGATGAAGCCCTGGTTCAATTTCCGAGTATCACACAAATTCAAGAACCATATAAATGAAAGCAACAAACGTGACTTAAAAATTGGTTTACTCAGTAACCTAACAATTGAAAATCTAACTGCACTAACCAAAATGCAGTTCTAGCACTAACTGTCCACAGTCAGCATGCACTCCACAGCCTTCTAGAAGAAGATCTTTATTTAAAAAAACTATAAGGTTTTGGAGGAGGGGAAGTCTAGCCACCCAAACTTCTGAAATTCCCACAACCTTCTCATGTCCAGTGATTCATTAAGAACAGCTCTCAGGACTCAGCAAAGCAGGACACCAACAATCATTATAAATGCTGTGCATCAGGTGCAGTGCCTAAGAAACCCACAAGGCAAGGACTGGAGGGTCCCAAATGCACAGCTTCCTGGAAATGCTTTTGAAGGATCAGGACCTCCTTTCTCTGCCAGAGTGCTGGTTGGTAAGGAGCGTCCAACGGGGATTTCAGTACATAAACATGACTGACAGAACCCAATTCCAGAATCTTGATCCCCACTCTGTCCCCAGAAATCTACCTGATATCCCTGAACATGAGATACAATTATCTCACCTCATGATTGGTCCTTCCAGCAAGGTCAGACCCTATCTAAAAATGATCTAGGAGCTCAACCAGCATCTAGGAGTGGAGTCATCTCATCAGCAAGAGTCGGGTCCTGGTCCCCGGGACTACCATGAAAACAACGATAATCCTGTCACCTAGGAAATTCCCTGATTTTACTGAGTCCCTTACAGAAACTCAAGAGAAGAACAAAATCCTTTGCCATACAATACCTGCTTGCCAGCGTTTTTGCACATCCTGAATACAGTAACAGTGCAGGTCTGACTCAACATCCCGAGTTTTATCCTCAAGACTTACATAGTGGAAGGAGAGAACCCACCACTGCAAGCTGTCTGTGATCGCCACATGAACACTGAGCACTCGTGTTCTCTCTCTCTCTCTCTCTCTCTCTCTCTCTCTCTCTCTCTCTCTCTTTCTTACACACACACACACACACACACACACACACACACGACATAGTGGAGATCAAAACTATGTGCTGGAGTCACCATCAGAATTTCCGTGAAGTACTAATACTTGCTAGTTTCAATGGGCCTTGAAAGCATCATGCCTGGTGAAGGAAGACAGACACAAACAGTAGCTAGCATGTTACAGGATTCCTTGCCCATGAAACTGTCAACATGCAAATCCAAAGAGACACGGAGCTGTCTAGCAGTCATCAAAGAACAGAGCTGGGAGGAGGGGGGCTACGAAACAGATGAAGGTGGTATGGTGTGTTTTGTTCTGAAAAGTTCTGAAGGCCAGATAGCAGCACACGCCTCCATCCTACACTCAGGAGGCAGAAGCACGTGGATCTCTGTGCGTTCAAGACTAGCTTGGTCTACATAGTGAGAGCAGTCTCAAAAGAATAAATAAAAAGATGGATGGATGGATGATGAATAAGTGAATAAATAAATAGACAAGTAAGCAAGCAAACTAACAAACAAAGTTTTGAAGCCAGGGAGAGGTGATGATGGTACAGTATCATGAATGCTAAATGTTAATAAATTACATACTCTAAAATAACTAGCTAAATGTTGCGTGAATTTCACTCCAATTTAAAAAAATTAAAATAGCCTACGTACCTATAATTCTAGCACTTGCAAGAGATCATAGTGAATTTGAGGCCAAGCTGGGCTACAAATGAGTTCAAAGTCAGTCTGGACTATACACTGAGACCCTCGTCAGATACGAGTGCTCTGAGATCCTGGTCTGTGTGATGTGAGGCCACCAAGAACAGTTCAAAAGAGAGCTGTACTTTAATAATATTTGCTGTGCTAATCTAAGTCTATTTATGTATGTGCGTGCACACACATGCACGGAACCAACTGGTTTTGCACGGACACTATAGTTTTTTCTGGCTGTCTTTAATCTCACTTCTAAAAGTTTCCTCACTCTGCTGTTTAACTCCCGTCTACCAACCAATACCAAATTGTTAAATATATTTTCAAACTTTATATTCCCAACACTGCTAAGAATCACTACTACAAATACAATCACTACTGCGACAATGCCATTAAAATGTTTTCTTTTTTAGACTTAACCCATACTTTTTCAAGATAAATGTAACATAAAATTAACATATAAAACAGTCTACAAGGGCAAATCCTGTGCCTTGAAGGACTTGATTCTTCTGGTTGGAAGGATAACAAGTTATCTAAATCCAGATGTAATGGCAAAAACCAGCATTTCAGTAAACAGAAGCATGGGAGTCTATTTCCAATGCAAATAGTTAGGCAAACACTTCCATACCAGACCCAGAACAGTCTTTCCTGCAACGAAATCTCTAAGCATCTCCCACCGCTCCCGGCCTTTACCTTTGTTCTTGTTTGCATCGGTGTAAGAAAATCCTGGTGCTTGTCCTGTCTTCCGGCCGAAAAGGCCCCAGAGGTTTGGGCCAGTCTTGTGTTTCCCACCTTTCTCCACCGTGTGGCACTGAGCACATTTCTGAACAAAGATCTTCTTGCCTGCTTCAGCATCTCCCATTTTGTTCTGCGATGAGACCTTAAGTCACAGACCAAAGAAAACAGCAAATTTGCGAACCTTGAAAAAAAAAAAACTGGGAGGGGGAAGGATCCCGTTATTCTGATTGAAGGGAATGTCAATAACATTAAGCAAACAATAGCATTTAATGTGCATGCACTTTAATGCCTGAGTGCTCAAAAATGCAGATGTGTTACAGCATCCAACTTTATAGACACTTCAGTCATCTCATTCATCAGACTTTTGTTGTTGTTGATTTGATCACACTATGTAACCCTGGCTGTCCTGGGACTCTCTGTAGACCAGGCTGGCTCAAACTCACGGTGATCCACCTGCATCTGTTTCCCGGATTAAAGGTGTGTGTCACCACAACCACCTAATCAGACTTATTTTAAATTTTAGCCATAGCTTCTTCATATACTTCTACTGGTATAAAGCTGGCTTTACCGCAGCCTTCAAACAATTATATTAATTTAAATGCATATGTAAAAATGCTGTGGGACACGGACATTCCTTTACTTAGAAGAACAGAACAAGCGTGATAGGTAAACGTGTTACTTACACACTCATCACAGCAGCCATGCATAGGAGATTAAAATCAAACAGAAAAAAGTGGGGCCCCTATAAGATACATGTAAAATGACTTTTGTACTTACTTTATTTGTAATCCAGTCTACCAGATTAGACCAAGTATTACCTGAAAGTAATAAAAAAAATGACATTATTGAGTTCAGGTCTCTCTGGAACATAGTATCAATGTAGCATTAAATATATGGTGTTAAGTGCGGACAATCTTGTTGTGTGGCAAGAGATACAAACAAGATTCTGAACCAAGGTGCTTCAGCAACCGCCAAAAATTTAGCTGAACAACTCAATAAATGCTTCTTGTCTAAAACGGCATGAAAAGTAAATAATTACAACTCCATAAACTGAACTTTGAAGACAGGGATGGCTCGGCGGGTATAGCGAACGGAGTCCCTGGCATCACCACCCAGAGCATGCCTTTCCCCTGCTGCTATGAAGGTGGGGACAGGGACTTCTTGAGAGCCTGGTAAGCCAGCCTAGCAAGCAGGGCTCTGGGCCTATGTGGGAGAGTCTGTCTCTAAGAGCAAGAGGGAGAAACGATCGAGGAAGACATTCCAGCATCATCCTCTGGCCTCTATATATGCCTGAACAAACAGGCTCAAGCACACACGCGCATACAACACACACACACACACACACACACACACATGCACAAACACAGAGCACACTGACATGATAAAGGTTGGCCTACCTGGGTTGTGTTTCCCTACACTTTGTGTTCTGTGAAGAATGAGAACAGGGGAGTTTGTGATTAAGATGGATTTAAACATAACAAATTACTATTACTAAAATCATGACATTCTTTGACAATACAGTCCCAAGAATATATTTATTTAATAATCCCACTAAGAAACAAAATATTTGCATCAGTTAAACTGACAAATTTGAAAAACACAGTATTGAATAATGAAAGTCAGTACACAAAGGTGAAAGTAGGGTTTCCTCACCTTTAAAATCTGATCGGGAGTCAATAACCATCATTAATCCACATCAAAAAAGAAGGCAAATCAGTGTGCAGCATTTAAAAGCAAATAATTTAGCACTCAGTCATTAGATGTGAGAGAAAACTTACTTTATGGTTGACAAAATTCCAAATAATAGTCAAGACACTGCAAAAATTTTCAAAACGCAGTGGATCTTTGATTAAAGTCATGAAGGAGATAAATTCTTCCGCAGAAGAAAACGTACGACAATTTGTAAAATATGTACATTGTAACTGTAAAGTCTGTATCGTGAAGAACAAAACACCATCAAAGCACTCCCCAGAGTCTTTATTCGTGACCTTCTATACAAAGCAGATCGAGTTGTGCCAATTAAATGTTACTAGTAATTTAGGAAACTCTATAGATTGCTCATCAAAGTCACGTGCCAAAAATACCTGTGTTCAGTGTTCTAGCTACCAGCATCGGTCACCGCGTGCCTTTCACTGTCTCTGTCTTTAGTCATAGACTATTATTGCTGGAGCAGACATTGACAGTCCTGTTCCAGGGAAAATAAGACCAAGAGATTTGGCAATGGCAAGAAAGAAATCAAATCGTCGTGAAACTGGCTGATACTCTATCGGTATTTACTTATTTATTGCTGTCTTTTGTTTATTCGAGACAGTCTTTTTATGTGGCTGAGTCACTATAGTTTGAGCTGGCTGGCTTCGAACTCAGTTCTCCTGCACCAGCCGTCCGCGTGCAGGTTATAGGCTCCGTGACCACAATTGGCTTTTACCAGTACTTTGTATGCAAGAAGAAACAAGCAGAGGTGTGACGTGTACTATGAGAACCGACTATTCACCTGAGTCTGAAGTCTCAATACTAACGAACAGCAAGGGTAAGACACATGTGCACGCCTGAGTTCTAAGCCAAGTGTGCCGTGAACTCAGTGGATCTTCCCAACAGCTCTGAGTCGGTTACTGCTCATGTATTCCTACATCCGAACAAAACAAGGAAGGCACATGGAAATCAACCTGGTGCAGGTCACACTGATGAGTGGTGGACAGAAAGAGTGGGACGGAGTAGCATTAGATCTCTAACCCTGCAAGTTGGACTCCCTTTGAGTACTCTGTTGAATACAGTAACCGAAACACTATATATGCTAATTTTTCCCCAAATAATTACTTAAAGTAATTGAGTGAAATCAGTCCCTCCAGGGCAGACCTCATGTCCAGTAGTTGATCAACATACATTGGACTCTAGTTTTTAATGTGTTTGTTTTTATTTGGTTACAGTTTGGTGTGAGTGTTTGTTGTTATTGGTTTTTTTCCCCTTTGGGGTGGCGTTTTATTTTATTGGTTGGGGACTGTTATGTTGAGTTTTTGTTTGTTTTTTGAGAAAGGATAAAGTTGGGTGAGTAGGGATGGGGAAAGGATCTGGAAGGACTTGGGGAAGGGAAAGAATATGATCAAAATATACTTAAATTTTATTTTCTTTGGTTTCTCAAGACAGGGTTTCTCTGTGTAACAGTCCTGGCTGTGCTGAAATTCTCTGTGGATCAGGCTGGCCTCAAACTCAGAATCTGCCTACCTCTGCCTCCAAGTGCTGGGATCAAAGGCATTTACCAGCACCATCTGACTGAAAATAGTTTTAAATAATAAAAAAAGAAGATTGGATGATTTGTTTTTGTTTATTTGTTTTTTGCTGTTTGTTTTGCATTATAGTGGTGCTAGGGATCAAACCTAGGGCTCACACACACTAGGTAAGTCCCCTGTTACTTTTTAGTCCTGAAGTAGTTTTTAACACTGCTCTCTACCATGGATTATGTCTAACTTTTCATGAATAGAAGAGAAATGTAAGAACAATGAAGGCACCAAGAAAGCCTTTAAATTTTACAAAATCCAAATAATTCAACTGGTGGAGAAGGAGGGGAAGCTCACTAGAATACTTTTAAGGATAAATAGTTAACAGATTAAAAATATATATGAGACAGAATTTCCTATGTGATTGTATAAGGCGGCCCCTAGCAATGCTGAAGCATGCATGGGCAGCCAGTACATGGGGTTCTTGTTGAACTTGTCCATATTGGATTGCATGGTCTTAGTTGATAAGGACTACTGACCAGATGGCTCAGGGTTAAGAGCACACTGCCTGCTCTTCCAAAGGTCCTGAGTTCAATTCTCAGCAACCACATGGTGGCTCACAACCATCTGTAATGAGATCTGGTGCCCTCTTGAGGAAGACACCTGATCAGTCGTCCTCATCAACTTGGACCACGAAACCCAGTATGGACAAGTTCAACAGAACCGCCATATACAGGCTGCCCATGCATGTTTCAGCATTGCCAGGGCATAAACTTCATTTTCAATTTTCTTTGTATAAGGTGGGGCGAGATAACGTAACTGAGGAAATCTCATTCTACCAGCCCTTCACCCGTCATCTACAATCACAGCCCTAGAGAGTGGCCGTGACACCATGAACTGGAACAAGAACCCAGCTTCCCAAATGTCCAACCCTCCACATCGTTGCCAACCTCTGCCCAGCATCAGCGGAAAGCTTTTCTGAGCCATGCTTCCCACCCGGGTATCAGAGGCACTACAGGCAATCCTAATCAACATTATATAGGCTTGGCTCTGCCGAGCTGGGGACCGTTGAACGCTCCTCTCTGGGTACACCTAGGCCCTCGTTGCATCCGCCCACAATCAGGGCTCACAGGGCAAACCTGCCCAGCCCACGCTCTTCTAATGGGCCAGCACCTACCCCAATCACAGCAGAGGTGCCCTGTGCCACCCTCGGTCCCCTGATGCAGTGAGGCCAAGATCTAAGGTACCACCTCTGTGCCGGAGGACTCCTCCTAGAGACCGGATCCAGCACCAGCTGAGGGCCGGCTCCATCCTCGCTGCTGATTGGCTGTAAGATCCCGCGGAACTCCCAACTCTCGCAGAGGCTGGATGGCCTCCAAGTCTAACTGCCCCTAGTCTGATATTTTGTTTGTTCAACCTTTACCTAAAAAGTCTCTGTACCCCTATACTGTGTACAAACGTGGAACAGCAGCTGTTTTATGAATAGTCCAGGAACATTTGGCGGCTACAATGAAATCCCATTAACAAAATGCTTGCTGTAAGCAAAACATCGTATCAACCAAACTCAAAGGGCAAATATTGAACCCTGCATGCCCAACCATTCATGAATTACAATCTCACTGTGGCCAGAGGTTAAAATTACAATGAACTTGAATTAATGCAATATAAACTCAATGTGGTGGCACAATTCTGTACTCCTACCCTCAGGAGACTGAGGCAGGAGGATCACCATGAGTTCTAGCTCAGCTTGTACTACGAAGTGAGACCTTGTCGCGAAAAGCATTAAGAAAAGCATTGCCAATAAACTACATGAAAATTCATTGTATAGGAACTGACAGCCGGATTACAAAATACTAATTGTCACAAGCAATTTAGAGAAGAAACTGAAACATAAAAGGTCCTGGAGATGCAAAGGAAGGTGACAGAGAAGGAAGGGCTGAGATAAAGGCAATGGGACTAAAGGGAGAAAGGCGAGAAAGTCAACGTTGTGTTTAGAAAAAATAGTAGAGAGACTGCCTTCTCTGCGGTCACACAATCGTATCAGTGAGCCGAGCTGTGAGAGATGAGTCTGGGACACAGAGTAAGATATCAAAGTAATTTTTTATAATGGTCAAATAATTAAAGTTCTTGGAAATGCACTAGTGAGAAGTACGTGTGTGCGTTAGGATGAATACAAGGACTGCAATGTTTTCACTCCCTAGAGCAGTGCTGTCCAACAGCCCTTTCTGCTGTTTCAGGAATATTCTGTGTGGGCATTGTTAGAAGTCACAGACTGCTTCTGATCACGGAAATACATCTAATTAGATGGAAGAACTCGATCTGTAACTATTCCAATCATTCTTAATCATAAGCAATTATATTCTAATTTAAATAGCCATAGTAACCAAATAATTGATTGAAACCGCTCTAAATGATACCTACAAGTTTTGTCTTACAGTCTACACACTTTAAAGATGCCATCTAATTGAATCAGATGCCTTTCAAAGGCATGCATACTGAAGGAGACTAGCATTTCTTGTTTGTGTGTGTGTGTGTGTGTGTGTGTGTGTGTATGTGTGTGCGCGTTCACACTACAGGCCATGCTAAGGGTTTTTATATTCAAAACCCTTAGCCAATAGCTTACCAATGAAGCAAATGGAGGCTGTGGAACTTATTCATATAAGACAGTCTAAAAATTGTCTCTTGATCATGAATAAATATCAGTGATTAAAAACCTAGAAAATGTTCATATAGTGTAAAATTTTTATTAACGTAAAGTTTGAAGATTAGTGTATCAACCAGGTAAGGTTTATTGCACTTTCAGTGTGAGATATTTTGTGAAACTGATAACATTTATTATTTTCTTTTTGAATTTCAAAAGCAAGTTATGACATTACACAATGTTACCTCTCTCTGCCGTGGGCTCTCTTGCCTTTCTCAGGGCTGGCAATTAAACGTAAGGTCTTTCACTTGCTAATCAGATTATGCAGTGAAGCTGTGTTCTCAGCACCTTAGCTCTCACTTTAGAAAAATAAATTTCCAAGATTTGGGTATACACAGTGTCAAGAGACAGCTCGAGTACACAACTCTAGGCTATATATTTTAAAGTCTTGAAAAATTTAATCTGCAGATCCCCAGCATACTTCTGACCCCCAGATACTTAGGATGTTCTAACTGCACATCGTTCATGTTCAAGGACATGTTTTGGTTTGGGCAAACGTTTTGAACATTTGAACAAAATGTTTTGAACAAAATTTTGAAATTTGATAGTTCCTTTCTGTCTGACATGGGGTGAGTAGCCGTATTTTCCCATCCCCATAATGGCCTGCCTCACCACAGACCTGGAAAATTCAAGGAATCCAGAAACTATAAGTTAAAAAATAAATCCTTCCCCCATCAGTGTCTGGCAGCATTTGGTCACAGCAATGAAATTTCCGACTAATACAGAAAGTGAGTACCGTGGACAAGGGGTTAATGTTGTGGTTAAGTCTAATGAAATGACTCTTAAACCTTGGAATTGGTCTGTGGAAGAGCCGTGGAGAAGGCTAAAGAAACCCTCGGATTCTGTAAGACGGTGAGTCTTGTGGGAAGCTCGGGAGACCAAAATACCAATAGGAGCGTGAGCAGTAAAAGCTACGTTCAAAGATTTCAGGTGAGAGTGAGGTTTCGTCTGTGGGGAATGCAGTATCAGCCATTCGGGTTACATTCTGACAGACGGTTTGTCTACATATCGTCCATTTCCCGAGACTCGGAGTGAGACTAAATTTATAAGTAAAGGCCTAGAGGCATGGAGCAGTGGCTCAGCAGTTAAGAGCACTGGCTGTTCTTCTAGGAACCGTGGTTTAGAGTCTTAGCACCCATATGAGCACTAATAACTGTAACTCCAGTTTCCAGGGGATCTGATGCCCTCTTCTGACCTCCATGAGCACTGCATGCACCTGGTGCACAACAAACAAACATGCAGGCAAAATATCGATGCACATAAAACAAAAATAAATCCCTTTTTAAAATGTGAGCAACGGATGGCTTAATTAATTTGGCGGGGGAGATTTCAAGACAGCGGGGCAGTCTTGCTAGGGCATCAAGAATACTGCCTGCTTTTAGCTTTGTTTACAGTGAGGATCAGCAGCAAAAAAACTCAGGCTAGAACAACTGAAAACAAGACTCAGCTGTACAAGGCACGGATTCTAAAGAACAGAGTGCCAATTTTCTTTTACAAAGCCAAATGCTTTGTATTGCAAGCAACAATACAAGGGAAAGACGCCTTCGGGAAGTGGGCTCTCTGCCTCCCTACAGTTTCTCATGTTGTGGTGACTCCAACAATACAGTTATGTTTGTTGCTACTTCATGACTGTAATTTTGCTACTGTTATGAATCAAAATGCAAATCTCAGTGTTTTCTGATGGCCTTCATGACCCTCGTTAAAAGGCCATTTGACCTCAAATGGGGTCACAACCCCACAAGTTGTGAGAACCAATTGTCTTAAGGGCATTTCAAGAATTGGCCAGATCCCACCCAGTGCTTCAAGTATTGGGGTACTCAAGTATGGGGTATTCAAGGGACCATTCTTACACTGAGTGACCTGGGAAGTTATTTCCGCAGGATTCTTTTCCTCCTGCCCAGTTGCCTAGCACTGTGGTGGGGAAGAGGGTGGGGACACTTCAGCTGCAGTATATGAAGACCTAACTACCACTTCACCTGAGGGCAGACCTTGGCACCAGCCACACAGTACTTGCTTCTCAAGCCTGCACCATGTTAAACTTTGGGAGATGCTAAGGCTTCCGACCCCGGTTTCAAATGAAGACCCGAGAAAGCAGCGCACATTTGTGCCAGGGTTGGCAAGGCTCACAGGAAGCTTTCAGAGGGCACTGAGAGAACCTGGGAGGGAGAGGCTGGAAACACGGAAATCCCGAGACAGAGATGCGAGGAAAGCCACGCATCTGCCACGAAATGCTGCATGCAGTGAACAGAGCCAGCCCAAGACAGGCCATGCAGGTCACAAATCACAGGGCTAAGACCACAAGAACTCGCCTAACACAGTTTTGGACATCCGTCCTTTGCTTTAGGCCTTGTTTCAGCCCCATCGTCACTCCTTTCTATGACATAAATGTTATTCTGGGCCACTCTACATGGAAGGTATCTATCTTTTTATTTCATAGATGTTTGCAACTAAGAGTTCATTTTTCCTTGAATTTTAAAAAGTATTCTATGTTTCTTTTGAGCCTACATCTCACTGTATGTCCCTGCTGGCCTTGACCTTGCAGTCCTCCTGCCTCCAGCCTGCAAGAGGTGGGATTTCAGGGGCACGCTATATAGTCAGCTTTGAATGGGGCAGGGTTGGAGCTGTGAAGAGACCCTTAGACATGAGCTTTGGGGTTTCTGGCTTCAAAGACTACTGGGCATGAACGAATGCCTTTCACATTAGGAGATGGCCATGTACTTTTGGGTACGAGGAAGGGAAGGCTGTGTTTTGAATATGAACTGTCACCTCACAGCCTCACGGACTGAATGCTTGTCACCATCTGGGAGGAGCTGTGGGAAGCAGAGCCTAGTTGAGAAGTAGGTCCTTAAGGACATGCCTTTCGAGATTGTGCCTGGTGCCTGGGTACTTTTCCCTGCTTGCAAGAAGTGAGAAGCCTCTGCCACGTGTTCTTCCTGCCATTTGTTCCCCCTTACACCAGTCTGAAATCAGTAAAGCTGAGGACTAGGGGTTAAAACCCCTAAAGAAGTGTGTTAGAAGGAATCTTTTCTACCTACAGAAAATGAGATAAATGTGTTATTGTGTCATGACTGAGAGGTGAAGTGTTCTGACTTGAGTATGGTGACACTTACGTCACCAAGTCCCCATGGAGGAATTGCCTGAGTTGTCTACCTCACTTTAACCTGACTTTGCAGACAACGTAGGGCTAGAAGTCTCTCTTCAGTGAGCTGGAAGAAACTTTCAGCTCTAAGGCGGGTGAAGGAGTACCAGACAGTTTCTAACTTCATATTAAAGCCTCCTGATCCCCATGGGTTGAAAGGCTCATACGCAAGTCTGCTCCCCACTTCTTAGCATACTGGGCAAGGAAAAAAAAACTGTTTCCTGGTCAACTGGTGTTCAGTCTTGTTATTGACTCTACAATTTGAAGAAGAAAAAACAATCCTGGGGGGGGCAGATCGGGAAAACATGATGAATATACTAAAACCTATCTAACAGAACCATTCAAATGAGTGATCGAGGCTCAATAAATTTATTTAAAATAAATAAAGCACAGGAAAGAAACGTGCTTATGTTTTAGCAATGTAAATATATGTTTCTTGCTTCCCTCAAATATGTGATTCTTC